ATCACAGACACCAGTGTCCATCACAGACACCAGTGTCCATCACAGACTTCCTCTAAGGCAACATTCCCGTCTTCATTGACTCCAAACACGAGTCTCTTATTCCTACAGAACAGCAGCTTCTCTGTTTTATATCTTATTTTAGTCAAAATCATCCCAGCCCAGAGTTTGGACGCTCTCCCTCCTCCTTCCCAGCCGGACTCACATGTGTGGAGCTAACGCCACTGAGGAGGCCACATGTGCCCCTCCAAATGGGACTGAACAACAGTTCATACGAAACTGTTTGATGACAAACAGAACATCCAGAGTGTTTTTTATTCTGGGTGATATGTAGGGTTGTCACGATACTACAATTTTCAACTTGATACTTATTGTACAAACCGATTTAATATACACTATTTCAACATAATATGTATAGACTTTAAGTGTTTGAAAGATTCATTTAACTATTTTTAAATTAATGTCTATATTAACATGAAGCAATTAGGATTTTCTTGCCTGGGATCTTCCTATTGGTGACCTAATCAAAATGGCCGACTTGGATGTGGGCGGAGTTGGATATGTACTTTAATGGTAGCATGTTATTATTAGCCATTAGCCGCAGCTAGCAAGGCTAACGTCTTGTTAATGATCAGAAACAACGGAAATAAATACATAAATAAATCAGAGAGAAGGGGCAGACGGCAGGTCACGGGCTCGCGCGGTGGTATCGATACTTTTGAAACTGAGTACCGTATCCGGATACAACATTTTAGTATCGATACTTTTTTGAGTATCGATATTTTTGACAACCCTAGTGATATGTCATCATGGATAAGATGCCCAGAAGCTGGAGCGCTTGAGGGAAAAGTTGTTCTTAAGTGACGTGACCTCAGGATGCTCTGACAAAACAGAAAACCTGAGTATCCAGTAGTTTAGGCCCCGCCCCCCTCCCACTGGAACTCTGCCCAACGATACAATAGAGAACATACCCTCCATTTGTTCCTTTTCATTTTGTCTCATTTCATTTGAAATGCTAATAGATGGTTTAGTATGGCTCCTCCCTGAGCAGGGCCGGTCCGGTCAGCAGGCTGCTCAGCTCAGGGGATTTGGTCAGGATGCACCTGGCTGGGATTAGACCTCCTGTACACCTCCTGACCTACATCAGCCCTGAGCAGCACCCTGAAACGCAACGTCTGCCCCCCCCCCCTCCACGAAGCCTCTGGCCCCACGGCCCAGCTCACCCAGCCTGAACAGAACCAAGCTGGCTCCAGCATAATGGGAACAGCCACCAGGATGGACTACAGAACCCAAACTCCTTCAGAAAACAACATCTTCCCAGTCCACAAACTAAAATCAGTTCAGCCAGGTTTTGGATCGCAATCTCATTAAATCAGTTCAACACATTTCTAACATAAAAAAAGAGTTATTTCATTCAGTGATTTGTGTCTTCTAAAGCCAAGTGAAAAAACTCAAATAAATTCATGCTGAGTACCGCAAACTCCCACCACTCCTCTTTGCTCCCAGTTAGCCCCTGACTGCTGGGATAGGGCCGTTAGCTCCCGCCGGGGGGCTGCCGGTGGGCCCACCACACAGCCGCTGATGAATCTACAAATCCATCACCCAGAACAGACACCGTCTGTGTGTGACTGTGAAAGCAAACTACACACACAACACAGCAAAAGCCTCCAACACAAGTTAGAGAGCAAAGCTCATTTATCCCACCCTCCTTCTCCACCAGACTTAAACAGAGCTGATTAAAAAACTTCAAACCAAAAAAACCTCCAACATTTTTCCATTTTCATTTTTAAAAGCAAACTGCTAAATCCCATGATTTATTAAGAAATTACATCAAACTTTCAAGTTTTAACCCACAATTTAAGATAATTTTAATCCTTAAAATCAACCATTCTCTGTTGTTTTCTGCACTTTTATGATCTAAAGCACTCCAGAAGCCCGGCCTGACCCAGAGGAGGCCCGGGCCGGGGTCAGGAGCTCCAGAGGCCCAGAGGGGCTGGAGGTGACCGCTGGATTAGGGCGGCCGCTATTTCAGACTGGCACAGGGGGGGACTCCCAGAAGCTGGCAGAGCTCACGCTCCGTGAACGCACCATGACCGCGGTGGGCTCAGGGCTAGCTAAAGCGGGGCCACCATGCCAGTCACACCCTTCACACCAGCCGGGCGAAGGCCCGCTATGTGCACCACAAACCGCCAAACACAACCAGCGTTTACCGACGTTTACCGGAGCAGAGCTCCAACTCATTTTACCGGAGCTCCAGCCCATTTTACCGGAGTTTACCGGAGCTCTTACCCATTTTACCGGAGTTTACCGGAGCTCCAGCCCATTTTACCGGAGTTTACCGGAGCTCCAGCCCGTTTTACCGGAGTTTACCGGAGCTCCAGCCCGTTTTACCGGAGTTCACCGGAGCTCCAGCTCATTTGACCCGCGTCCCCTCGGGGCTCCGTGATGGAGATAAGTGGGGGATAACTACGTACCTGTGCGGTCTGAAAGGCTCCGGCTGTTTCCCTCCGAGCTGCTGCTGCTCGGTCCCGTCTGAGAGCTCGGTGTCTGGGCTTGTTTCAGGATTTTTTCCTGATGAATTTAAATGTCTCGCCTTCTAGCAGGCCACGCCACATGGGCTGACAGCCGCTTGACAGCACAGTCCAATGAGAGCAGAGGCAGCGCGGCCGGATCCAGCCAGTGATGGAGCCATCCGTTGGATGAAAAAAAAGGGATGAAAAAAAAGCTGCGGAGGCGGGGTTACTGGAGTTCACTCCGGAGAGCAGCCCGAACACGGGCCGAACACGGGCCGAACACAGCCCGAACCTGGGCCAAACACGGGCCGAACCTGGGCCGAACACAGCCCGAACCTGGGCCGAACCCGGGCCGAAGTTGAGCTAACACAGACCGATCCGAAAACGGGCCGAATTTGGCCGAACACAAGCAAGTTTTTAAAAAGTAATTTTCTGTTTTCAAACTGGGGGTGAACTCTCTTCCAGGGACACAGCGGCACGTGTGGCTTTCTGCCGCTCCAATTTCACAACCGTACACCATGTGAGCGCGTGCAAGGCCGCTGTCAGACGGTGACGTAAACAACTAAGCATTGTTGATGTGGTGTACAGAGACCAATCAGCGCGCGGGGGTGTGAGGCCTCAGCCAATCGCAGCAGAGAGCTGGGTGCCGTTAGGAGATAGGGTGATTAATGGGAGGGGCCTGGGGGTGACGTAGCGGCAGCACTCGCGTGACCTGCTGGGGTTACTGGAGTTCATGGTGGTTTTCTTCCCCACTGACCCACTGCTGTCAGACGGTCAGACCTGAGGGTCAGCGGCCTCAGACGGCTGTGGGCAGCTCCGGGCAGCAAGGTGGAAACTGCCCGAGCTAAAAGAGACGCTGAACCTGAGCTGTAGACATGAATACATGTAGACATGTGTCTGCTCATCTATGATGTATGAGCACCCAAAGCTGCTGGGACAAAAGAAAAAAGGGCTGGGAAGGGAAATAAATACCAGTCGATTCAGTGAGGGGAAAAAAGGTTATGCTTGAAAGCTGTTTGAAGCATAACTATGTCACAGCTGTTGATGGAGGAACTTCATTATACGGGAAACCAGATATGGTTTAAATTCTTATATAATGTAGGTGTGTGTATGGATATTCTTCTTGTGAACTGTTTTTGTAACAGGCATATCTTAAGAAAACAGAAAAAATTCCTATGAGCTATTTTTGTTATCGTATTTGTCCAAACAAATGTACCTTTAAATGGGAAAAAGGTGTATTATTTAGCAGAGCTTGATGTGGTGAGAGTGTGAAACAGCATCCCAGAAAAACAACAGCCGTCACACTGCCACTTCAGATCTACTGTGGAATGAAACCCACAACGAGCAGGAGCCTCGTGAGGAGTCGAACCTGTTTGAACAGCGTTTTAATTCTCATCCTCAGCTGCTGCCTGTGCTGCTCCCTAAACAAACCACATTAATAGACCGCATTCCAGCAGGAAACTGGTTTTCCTGTCATGTTGTGGTAAACTGAGACAGTAACTCCAGCAGAAATCTTAAAAAATACATCCCTGCGCCTGCATTAAAGTTTCTGGTTCCACTGTAGTGAAATAATTGGACTCCTCGTGCCTGTTGCCATGGTGACTCATGAGTCGGGGCTCCATTCATGATGGCTTTTCAGCTTTGTGAAACCCAAAACTCGTTTCCACGATAAAAGACTCTGGTTTCACTCAGCCTGCTGCAGCGTCTTCAGACCCCTTGCTGCTGGAACAGATGCTGGGGGGGGGGGGGGGGCTGAGGGCCTCCCTGAAGACGGCTGGAGGGAGCACAGGGTCAGAAACCTGGACTTATTTACCTTTCTTTATAAAGTGTCAAATCACAGTAGATGCCATCTCCAGGCTCCTCATAGCTACAGTCTAAGCTAATCCACCATTACCCACTAGAATTAAAACCAAAAGGAGAGTCAGGATCACCAGAGCCTTCCCTGACTGCTTATCAAATATGAACGATTAAACCCTAAACGTAAAACGCTGTCTCCCTCTATGGAGAATGAACAGGGAGCCAATGAAGAGAAGCTAAACCTGAGACCCGGAACAGGATCCATGCAAACCGATGCCCTGCAGTCTAATAATGTTAGCTAAGGGAAGTGGGTGTGAAGGGAGAGAAGAACCCTGAGGAAGGCCACGGTTGGCTCTGCTTTTGGGGAAAGTTTCATGAACTAACTATGAGACCCAGATGACCGAAACCAGACTAATGCAGCCCCTTTAACGCCCTTAATATGTCGGAGTCTCTGTGACAGAACTTGTTGTTGATGGTTTCAAATGCAGAGCCAGCCCAGACAGCCCCCCCTCAGAGGAGCTCAGCCTCAGCTCTGAGTCTGTCTGCATGTCCACACAGACTGGGGGGTCAGAATACAGAACTATGTCCATCAACGTGTGCTGCCTACACATAGATGATCCCATTTTCTTTTTCTTTTACATTTTGTGGGACTTATCTTGGCTCCTAGTGTCAGCTCTGCTCCTCCAGGCTGCTTCAGCTCTGAATCACCACTGAAGCCCAGGTGTTCCCTTATCTTCCCTTTCCCTGATCTCTGTCTGTCTGTGGTCAGTCGTCCATTACTGGTCCAGCTCAGCAAAGTCTTGATGGCTAATGGCTTTTGGTTTAGGCAGAACACAACTTCTACACATATATCATGGCCATGGCTCCTCAGCCAGCCGGTGGGTTTCTCTGTAATATGTATTTACGTGTTTAAGGCTTCTGTGCTGCCCGGCAGACAGCCAAGGAGTGCTCGCTGGTTTGTTTTCAGAGGAAGGTCCGGGTGCTCCAGCTCAGTACTCTCAGTGAATGGACAGAGAACCAACATATGAAGGGAAAATACTTTATGGAAAGTATTGTATGGATTATGGCTAAATGTACCTGAACAGCTCTTAATTAATCTGTTAACTCCTCCTCTCTAGTACAGAGTATGCCACATGGAATCTGAGAAATGAGATCTTAGTGAAATAGTACAACTCATGACTGCAGTTTTCTAATTTAAAAAATTAGGCGTAATCAGTTAATCAACACATTTAGCATAAGTCTGGAGATGCATCAGGGTTGGACAGTACATAAATCTACACCGACAGCCGTTAAAGCTCAATATCAAAATAGAGGTGGAGTTCACACGGATGTATTCATTTTAAACAGCTAAAGATTCTTTAAATGCTCTTTTTTTACAGTTCAGGGGGAATGGCTGTCAGAAGAAGGAGGTGTCTGATGAAAAGGCCCCCGCTAGTCTGAACTCATCCCTCATCAGCACGCAGAAGAGCCGCTGAGGCAGAGCCCGGGAGTAGGGAGCCGGTCTGGGGACGCAGGTCCTCAGCAGGATCTCCCGGCCGGCGGGGGCCGGGAAGTCAGGCACTTTTCTGTTTGAGCCAGTCGGCAAGTCTTCGTCTGCTGGGGGCAGAAGGGCCGCCTGAGGAAACACAGAGCACCCAGCATCACAGACTGACAGCCCAGAGGGAGAGAGCCGGCTGTGGGATGGAAGCAAAAACTCAAACGTCTTAGTCAGATCACGCCTGAATATGGAGTTTGTGGGGTTTTCCACATCTTCTCTTCTGGCAAGTAAGGATAGAAGTTAAAGTTAATGCTGGGGGTTCAGACCCCAAACTGCCTGGAGGTAGAGGGGGGGGTGGAACTGGGAGGTTTATGACCAGACAGATGGGACATGCTCTGACATGGTCAGTCCCTGGACTGATCTACAGAAGGGGCCTCAGGCTGGAGGCGTTGTGGTGCACAGGCTGCTGCTGCTGGTGTTGTTCTGTGGGTCTAACAGTCACCTCCACAGGTGAGTCCGCCCTGTTCCGTTAGCTGGATAAGAAACTCGCTGGTCCCCCCACTCTGAGCTCGGCCTTCTCTGCTCCTTCAGGCAGACGGCCAGAGGCCCACCGGAGGTCCTGCAGTCCAGTCCTGTCTTTGGTTTGTGTTTAAGATGAGCTTATGCCTAACGCCATGCCAGGACCAGCAACGTGCATCTGAGTATTTCTGGAGAGGGGGGGCTGGGCGGTTCCAGTCTGAGGGAGCAGAGAGGCACACAGGGTGCTCTGCTGGTGGTCAGTAATCCCGCTGGTTAGGGAGCATCAGCCTGGGTTTGCTGGACATGAACGCTACCCAAAAAGACTCATCTTTGTCTCCTGAACTGTCACTAGAGTAACTGAACAAGTTTCACAGTCAGCTAAATACATCCCATCAGATTTGTGTTAGCCTCATGAACAGACAGAGGCACAGGAAGGAGAAAGGCTGCTTACCCGCTGGGCATTGATGAACAGTCTGTGGATGATCCGGCCAGCCTGGCCCTGGCCGGCTCCAGTGACCACCACCTCAGGCTCCTCCAGCAGCAAACTCACAAACCTGGACAGACATCCAATGCCATGTTTTGAAACAAAGAAAACGAACAGTTCCTCTACCTACACTTAGAAAAGACAGTTCCAGATTTCTCTGTAGCAGAACTAGTCCTCTGAAACAGCCCTGATGTGGTCAGAACTCTGCTCCGGCCCCTAACAGAGGAGGATCGCCGTGTTGAAGCCAGGACCCTACAGCAGAGAGGTCTGAGGGGGATTCAGTGACCACAGTTGGATTCTTTAACTGACTTTACGCCCACTCACATGAAGGCAGCATTTCCTGGCTGTCAGGTACCGTTATCATGAGTGAGACGGCTGAAGGACCAGCCCCCCTGCAGGAAGCCCCGGTGTGTGTGGGCCGTAGAGGGCTTGGCTGAGCAGACTGACTATCCACAGCTTTATGTTTAGTGTAGATAGAAGATCAAAGGAGAACTGAAACTAGTATTCGCTGTCCGCAACATCGTCCACACTTCTGCTCAGCTGGAGCAAAAACTCAGAAAAACCACAGTTTCCTCTGATGGAGTAAAAAGGCTTTGTTCTGGAAAGGGTAGACTTTGGATCACTCACTCTTCCAGCTCGTCAGAGGCTTCACCATCGTTGTCCTCATTCACAGCAAACTTGGCCTTGAGTGAGCGGGCTCGAGTGATGGCCGTCTCTATGACCACCAGCTGGTTAATGAAGTCCTGCACAGAGAAACAGGGCAGAGGCCATTCCTGTGGCACCACATCAACCAGTCCAGCCCAGTCAGCGTGTGCAGTCTGACTGGACACAAAGAGGGACCACACCAACCCCTGCATCTCTCAGGAGGAGCTAACAGGTCTCGCTGCCCCCTGAACCACATCAGTGTGGGCCTGGGACCCTGCTAGTCCCTGCTCACCAACACTGGTGGTCTCAGATGGGCTGCTGGTCCAGCTCTGTTCACTTCTGCTGAACTGTCAGGTTCTGTTTAGTTTGTTGCTAAGTGCTGCCTGCTCATGCTGGAGACTGGTGTGATGAGCCAGAATCTAGCATGAGGACTTCTGCCTGACCAGCCTCCTCCGTCACATGTGGAGGCAGCAGTGAAGCATGCAGTTTTATTTTCCTCCCCTACTTTTGCCATGCACCATGGAAAAACCCCAGTGTCTGGTTGAACCACAAAAGTCAACACTGTAAAAGTTAACTGGTAGAGAGCACACAGAACATCTCCTGCTGATTCAAGAGGTGGAGCCACCAGGCCTCTGCCTCATAAGGCGGCGAGTGCCTCGGCTCAGATGGATGTGAAGAAGCCCCGGTGAGACAGTGTGACATCGACCCAGAGCCAGAGCCAGAGATTTAATGTGTGTTCAGCCCAAAAGGAGCCAACAGAACTCTGTGAGGCAAAGTTTTATGGCAAATGGATTCAGCCTAAAGGGAAAACTGCACAGGCAGTCAATCCTTTTTTATACCCTAACTTTGGGGTGATTTTTAATACAGTTGTTTAAGAAATGAGAAGCTACTCATCCTACAGGTGGGCTTTAATAACTTGTTGCTTACAAGCTGAAAGACGATATCCCATGTAGGGTCAGTAGAAAATAAGAGGCTTGAACCTACTTGTTTAGTTAAATCCAGGGTTTTGGGGTTAGAGGTGGAATAATAACACTGATAAAAGTTTCATACCTCTAACTTGCTGTAATCATAGTTGGAGGGGTGAAGCAACTTGTTGGCTTGAATTTCAGCCTGATGGATGTTTTTTTTCATTGATGGAATGTTTTCTTTTGACTCTGTTAGGAAGCAAAAGGAGACAACAACAGAGGGAAGCAACTGAAAAAGGAGGGTTAGGGTTAGGGTTAGTCATCTAACAGTCATCTGAGGATGTGTCAGTAAAGTCTGGATATCACACGTTGCCTTCAGATTACTTTAGCTGTGAACTGCTGTTAAACAAATGATCTCTATCGACCTGAAAGTGGGAGGAACCACTTAGATCGTGGACCAAAACAGGAGGACATGTTTCCTGTCAGTGGGACCATCCCTCACATACAAATCTCATTGGTATCTATAATGTCTTCAATGTCTGAAGTAAAAAAGAGGAAATCTAAACCATCAAAGAAAACTCACCTTCGTGCTTCAGCTTCTGGAGAGCAGCATGGAGCACACAGGGGAGGAGATGCTGGACCAGATCTCCAGGTTTCTGCATCCCCAAATAGTGCAGAACCTAAAAATGTACAGCCAATCAACACTGCTCCAACGAGGCAGACTTTAACTTCACTATAACCACATCTTTAAAAAACTCAGAAAGAGCTCCTTCTGCTCTGTTCTCTGAGCTGCTCTGGCTTCCCTCAGCTGCTCCCTCAGGTCCAGGTCCCTGGTGCTGGCCTACAGAGGGTCTGATGGATCTGCGCCCATCAACACCCTCTAAAGCCTCATGTCACCACTGGCCCACTCTGTTCCTCCAGGGAGCACCCGCTAACACAGCCAGCGCCCCCTACAGGAGACTCTGCTCATCTGTGGTTCCACGCTGGTGGAACCACTTCACCAGACTGGCAGAGCATCAGGCTCTCTTTCCTCCTTCAGAACCCCTTGAAGACCCAGCTCTCCCAGAATTTCTCTGCTCCTAAAACTCTAAAGTCTCTTACTTCCGGTTAACATGTAGCATCAATGGATGCTAGCTGTGGAATCTGTGTTCTAGTTGGATGTTAAAGCCTTAATGTTAAACCCTCTGTTAGCATGTAGCACTCCCTCCCTCCCTCCCTGTGTCTCCTAGTGCTGCTCTTGGTGGGAACTGTTGTTCTTCTGTAAATAACTCAGAGTCGGTTTGACCTGCTCTGGTTGGAAAGCTGGGAGGTCTTTGTATACTGCTGTGATGGTGGAGGCGTTTTGCTGCTGTGCTCCATATGGTTGTGTCTGTGCTCCTCTGGCTGCAGCGTTAGGAGGCAGACAGGATTAGGCTGAAGTAGCTTTCTATCTTTCAATTGGAAGAAGGGGAGGAGTACCCCTCAGAATACTCAGAAATCCTCTGCTGTCTCTGACACAGCTGCTATTCCTCACCGATTCACAATGAATGGCGCTTAGAGACCGCCTGTTCCAAGTTTTGCACTTGGACAAAATCGGCCTATGGTCTGACAACACAGAAAGACAAAGAAGGGTAACAGGTTTTTTACAGTGTGAGGAAAGGTAGAGCTCTGTTCCCCCTTCAGCCCAGGCTCACCAACCCTTCCTCCAGTCCCTGGTTGTTGCTCCCAGCTTTGGACAGTCACCTTTTCCGCCTCCTTGGTGTCATCAAAAAGCCTCCTCTGCCGGCGAGCAGGCGTCACCCTGGCGGTCTCCCAGGCCTCCACCCACATGTTGCCCGGGATCTTCATTCTGGCACTGAGCTCCCCCGTCAGCACCGGCTTTCCCTTCCCATCAGCCACCTCCTCCTCTATGTAGTCCCTGGGTGAGTACCAGCGCACAAAGTCCTCCAGAACACAGCCTGGGTTGGCGGCCTGGAGCCAGGAAAGGACACTCATGTCAGATACTTTCAATCAAAATACACAAACAGCCTTATAAAGCAGGTTTCCAGGTTAAAAGGAGCCTTAGAGCTGAATGCATTATTCAGCCACTCCTCAGTCACTCTGGGTGTGGAAGCATAGCTCTAATGCCTACGCACGGGTCTAAACAAATGAATCCAGTCAGAGAAACCTTCTCAGCAGAAGTCAAAGGAAAGCTACAGCTTCTGAAAACAGAACAACTTAAGAACAAACTTAAATTATAGCAGCGTGAGTTTAAGCCAGATTCCTGTCAGCATCATCACCCCTCTGACACGCCCACTGTCCCTGTACGGCTACACTCGTAGGACAAAAACACTTCCTGTTTTTTCAAGCAGCTATTTTAAGCTGCATTTCACCACCTGCCGTCCAGGAGGGCAGACAGTTATTTTACAGCATGTCAGAGGGACAAAAGAAACATGAACTACACTAAAAAACAAGACCAACACGAATACAAAAACGAAAGCCTTCAGAGGAACTCAGTAGATTTCGTATCTATGATTTGAACATTAAATGTATGGCAGTGAAAGCAAAATGTTTTCCAAAATAAATTCATCTCAAGTGAAGTCCAACATCTCAAAAATTGTATTTAAATACTGTACTCAAGTAAATCTACTTCATACTGTCCCCCCTGAGTAGGATATGTTTGATGCTACATATCTGAGAAGGCTGCAGGGCACCAGGAAGGACGAGGAACCAAATGTCTGTTCACATGTTCCAAAACCTGGCTGAATCTGATTGCTTGAGGATTCAATTAAAGAACAAACGTGTGTGTTGTCCACTCACTTTAAAAGACTCCATGTCCGAGAGGAGACATGCACTCTGCATGCGAGCACGCAGGTGGGTCCCCTCAGCCGACGTGCCCAGTTTGGCCAGCACCTCGGACTGCTCCTCCAGCTGGTCCTCCGTCATGGGAGCAGGCTCCTGCAGAGCACACACACTTCACTCACCCCTCCTCCATCGCGGGGAGTCCAGAAATGTACCCAACCAAAAGCCAGACGTGTCCTAAATGGAGCAGATGTGAGTAACAGGAGGCCTGCCTGGGTGACGGGGACGTAGAGAGGCTCTGCAGAGTGGAGCAGAGTCAGCTGGCCGTAGGGGTGCAGCCTGCCCTCCGCCTTCCCTCTGCCGCTGTCCTTCACTGCCCCCGCTTGTGGAGACTCGTTGTCTCCCTGGTCACTCAGGCACTCAAAGAACTCCTCCTCACTGTCGCTCCACGAATCCCAGGACTTCCCAGAGGACGGCTCTCGAGTTGAGGAGGAGGTTTTGGTGGCTGCTGTTGAGGACTCTTGCACCTTGTCTTCTTTTTCTTTGCTTTTCTCGAGCACCTTGCGAGCCTCATCTCTGGCCCTCTTCCTCTCTATGCAGCAGTTCAGCATCTATGAAGCAGCAATGGCAGGCCTTTAATGTCAGGCCACACCAGCCTCAGGTGTTCACTCTCACTACCAGTGACACGACATGCCACACAGGTTCCATCAACATGTGCACAAGCACTCCCAAACCGCCAGGCATGCTTTACAATAACATGGACAAACGTGAGGCCAAAGACTTTCTAATAACTCTGACTGAATGTTTGTACTTTTGTAAACGCTGAAGTGAAAACTAAAAACAGCCTCCTGTTAATGGAGGCGGCTGTGGCAGCTCTCTCCTCAGCTTCATCCTGGAAAACCTCCTGCAGACAGAAGACAGGTGGGAGAATCCTGGAGCTGGGACAGATGTGCAGTCCAGATGGGGAACAGCTGGCATACGCTAACCCAACCTTAAAACACACGTCTCTGCTTTGATTTAAGGACAAAGGAGCAATATTTAGACAAAAATTGGATGGTCAGCAGGTATCTGTCAGTGTTTTGACGCCTGTGACTAGTGATGAGTATTTAGGGAAAGATTCTGCTCATTTTGGTGGTTCTGGAACAGTGATGAATGAAAATGCCTTTGGGGGGTGTTTAGGCCGTTTTACATGAGAGGGAAGTAAGTGCCCCCGCCCCCACGGGACTAATCTGAAGTACACAGCATGCAGGTACAGAACTGATTACCTGGAACTTCTGATGCAAAAGACAACAGCGAAGATCTGGAGGTCCACTGTCCAATCTGCAGATTAAGCAGGATTTTTAGGATGTTTATGCTTTTTTTAAATCATTTTCCAACTGAACACACAAATATTCATGTATGTGCACACACTTGTGTCCCCTTTAATCAGAGACTAGGGAGATATGTCAACAGTTCTTAAAAGTAAAGTTTACATGGCTTTCTTTAGTATTTTCTGTGTCTGAAGCTGGTGATGAAATGCAAATAAAATGTTAAAAAAGCAGTTCAGATAAAGCGTGCTCTGCTGACCCATAGATAAGATAGTTGTTTTCCCAACGGTAACGCAACTCCAGGACAAATTCCTGCCAGAGGTGAGCCACAGCTGGGAGGCCACCGTGGCTGTAGTTGACCAGACAGAGACACAAGGCCAGCCGGTAGGTCAGACTATCGGCCGGAGCCGACTTCAGCTGGAGGAACAGGGTCTGAGGGGAGGGGACACAGTCAGCAAACAATTCCGTATCTGACACAGATCAAAGCCACAAAGTCAGCCATTAAAAAGCCTCATGTCACCAACACTGAAGTCATCTTCCTAATCAGTACTGGGATTTCATGCTGTGGCCTCTTTAATGCAGCGGCCCACAGGCTGAGGCTCAAACCCGGATCAGGAGCATCCAGGCACCTGGACCACTCCCTGCTCCTATTTCAGCCCTCCATTTAAAACACATCACATGTGTGAACTGTTGGTGAGGGAGTGTGGAACATACATCCTCAGAATGTCTCTCCTGCTCTGATGTCCTGTAGGAGTTTGGCTGGGCAGCATTCTCCTTCACACCGTCGGACGACTTCTCCACAGCAGCATCCGGGAAGAGATACTGTGATCAAAAACAGACCTCTGCTCACTCATATATGTTTTCAGACACACACACTGACTGAATTTACCCTATTTTCTGCATTATAAGGCACACCTTCAATGAATTATTTAGCCATTTTCCCTTCAGCCTTTACATCCAACTTAAGAAGCCATAGTAGTCTAAAATGTGGTTTTGATAACAGAATGATCAAGGCCTCTGGCTAAAGTGGAGAAATCAATGCTTTCAAAAGTTTCTCATAACATTACCAAAGGTGGATTTGTAATCTAGATTTTTTAAAAACCTATAAGCAAACTATCCAGGCCTTTTACTTCTACAGGTGCATCACTTCTGTGTTCTCTTCGGATAACTCAGCTTTTAACTGAACAAAAAAACTGCAGGTTTTTGGGGGGGATATCTGAAGATGATCTGCAAATGCTTCCCATCTGATGCATACAAATATCTCAAACTGAATACATTTTTTTATGATAGCAAGTTTTATTGACTGGAAATGGACTGAGTTTCAAACAGCTTGTTGGGAAATGAAGTGTCGTTTTGCCTTACTGACTCATTCAGCATGAGTTTTATTCTTATGTTCATGTGATACATGGTATGAATGCCACGTACCAGAAGGATGGAGTTGAGGACGTCGTTGTTGAGTGGTGACTCATCAATGTGCCTCCGGCGGCGGATGTGCTTGCGGGCACTGTGCACCATGCTGGACACGGACAGCTTGGTTATGGGCACGGCTGCTGCTGGCTCAGTCAGCCTGGATAAGGCAGAGCTGAGGTCACTGCTTTCTGTGGGGAGAACATCCAGGCTGTCACACACTCATCAGCACCCCAGATCTATTCTGCATTAGCACTGAGAGGGGAGCTGACCTCGTCCCTCCTCTTCTGCCAAGCCTCTTCCCAAAATGTCTTCTGTGGACTCATTTCTACAGCAGAGCTTGAAGAACTCTGTCAGAAAGTCGCCTGTGGGAGAGACACAGATGGACCCATCTCATCCAGCATACTGACAGACTGAGCTGCTCCATGCAGATGAATGCTGGACCAAAACACAATTCTTACAGGAGATTTGGATCAAAACTTTGTACATTGCTGAGGTTGAATCGTATACATTACAATGTAACCATGATTAATGACATCCTATATTTATCATCCAGGCTAACTGGCTGGGAGTTAGACATAGACATAGACATAGACTATGTCCTGCTATGTCCTAGTCCTGCTGTCTGTGTTGTTTGACTCAGGTTGGATTGGTCGGGATATTTAAGGTGGTGGTCTCTTGTGTTTTAGTGACTAGTGTCTTTATAATAAATCATTTAATTCTTTATTACTTGTCCTGGTCGTGTATTTTATGGTTCCTTTGAGCCATTGGGTTTGTTCAGGTAACATAACCTTTTCGGGAGCTCATCCATTTCTTCCTTTAAGCTTGATGACCTGTTTGGGTCAGAGTCATCTGGTGGCTTTGTGGTGGCACCTGGTGTGCAGGCTGCATGCAAGGATTTAATCAGGGGATTGGTTGGTCCTGTTTTTGTAATTAGTATTAGTTCCTCCATTTCAATTCTGGTGAGTTTGACTCAACCACTCAGTCAGATTTGTGATCTGTGTTTTTAAAGCTCACTAATTGTCTTGTGCTGCATGTAATTATGTTCCTGTATCCAGAAATAAAAGGAAGCCATGAAGTTTGTGCTTAGACAAAGAGAAGTAAGACTCAGAGAAAAGGAGCAAAAATTGAGAAAAGTAAGTGATCAGCTGGAGCTAAATGTCTGTCCTGAGTGTGTCTCTGCAAACGTGGACTTCTGTCCTGTTGGAGCAGCTGCAGTGGGCACGTCTCCCACTGGCAGGGTGACCAGTGGGTGGACCGGGTGGCCTTTAGATGCTGAAGGCTGGGGGGGGGGGGGGGGGGGGGGGCCCTCTGCTGGGCACTCAGGGTCCTACGGTGACCAGGGCCTGGAAGGGTTCATGAGGGCAGGGGCTCTGTCCTGGCCTGCTCTGGGTGTCCCCCCCCCTCCCTCCTCAATCTTTACACCTTTTCCTGGTCTAACATGTTTTTGAGCTAGTACGTTTATTTTAGAGGCCTTAATAATTAGCTGCTTATTCCAACCAACCTGAGCTGGAACAGACCTGAAATATTAGAATGTGTTTTAAAAAAACAGAGACAAGTTAAATGAATTGCTCTGCCCTTCTGAACAGAGGGGGGCGCAGCTTACCCATCAAACACTGGGGGTTCTCTGCTGTCCTAACTCGAACTGACCAATGAGGAGCTTGGAGAGGTTCAAGGTCACTGTTGGATGATAAACATATATCTTAATACACAATATAATAAAACTTATTAGGTGAAAGAAATATTGTGAATCGGGTTCAAATGGAACTCTTTGTCACAGTATTTCTGTGGACATTTGATCCTTTTTGTCTCATTTTCAGAGAAATGTATTTTTTCTTTCTTTTTTTGGTGTTGAAGCTCTTACCAGCAGGCAGTTGCACACACACGTCTTTCATTAAATAGTTTATTTCCTCAGTATTGCTTGGCGCTTAATCAAAACCATATACTATCAACACTGAACACTCAGGACTGAGTCGAGCTATTTCCATTTCATTCTAACAAGCAGTCATGTTTCCACTGGTGGATATCTGGGATTGTACACCAGTGAAGGTTGTCTCAGGGTCTTACTATCTAACATTCTTACCTGTAGACATCGTTGTCCACAACTATGTCCTCTGTCAGCTGAGGCCAGGTGGTCGCCAGATGAAGTTCACTTCAACAATCAAAAGCAAAGTAAGACGATTACATTTGGTCAGACAGCTGAAGCTTTGACACTAAATATTATCACACAAAGCATACAGACACCACACTATAACTACGTTTAAACTACAATCTCTTGCTCCCAATGTTGCTGTGATTGAAACAAGTGTATTGTTTCCATTACAACATGCACTTTACAGTAAAAAAAAAAGAAGCTGGAAGGTCTGGAAAGATACAAATGACACACAAGAAAGCCCTTCATGAATCTAGAACTGATTCTCTTATTCTTCACAAATGGGTGGTGTTGTTAGCTGTGCAGCCGGGCTGATGAAGAGTTGTGTATTTTAAAATGAAAATGATCATTGTTATCAATCTTAAACTTCTCATCTGGGTGAGCTTACTGTTGTGTTCCTCTGTTCTGAGTCCCTCTCACCTGATTGGTTCCTCACAGGCTCCAAAGGGAAGGTTCCCAAACTCCACTCCTCCCACTTCACCTCCGAGCAGAGCATCAAAGTCTAAGAGACACAAACTCTTAAGCCAGTGATAAGTGATGTTACAACGTGAGAAAAATGAATGTCACCAAATAATGAAGGTGATTCATAAAGCCTTTAGTTTTCAGTCAAAAAATACACTGTAACCTACGATACATTTCCATGTGCAACCACACCCCACCCCCCCTCCTACCTGGAGGCTGCTGTGGCCATGAATGCTGCTGCCAGTCTTGGAGGATGTAGGTGAAGCGGATGGTCACGTCGACCGGAGGCAGAGGGAGCAGGTTACAACCCTAAGCACAGAAAACAGCTTTAAACCAAACAGAATGATGCTCAAACTTACTATGTTTGGTTTCAGAACGTTCAAACCTGAATCTTAAGTGTCTGTTTTTATGGATATTAACCATTATCCATTTCACTAAAATTGTCCTACAATTCCAGGAAACTGGAAGGTATTTTACAAATACATCCAGTAGAAACTCTGAATCTGTGTCTTGTTTGGAAGCTAATATATAAACTAGCTATAGGAGCTGTTACTCAGATCTCACACTAAGATAGAGACGCTAGAGTTGGTTAGACATCCTTTACCAAACAACCAACGACTCTTTTATCCTTTTGCCTGAAAGTGGACGCTTTAATCAAAGTGTACGCTGGCCCTTATTCTGGGACACATCTGCCAGCTCTTTAGAGGAGGGAGCCCCACATACTGACCACTGAGAGGCTCAGCAGAGCCAGAGCAGAGTCCCATTTAAATGTGTGCACCTTTCCCATCACAGATGCTAACTGTGGTCTTTACTATCTTTCCTCACTGGTACTTACTATCTTTGATTTGAAAATGTCAAGAAGCCCAGACAAGTGGTTGTACTGGCTTGGGACTTTGCGGAGTTGGACCATCTCAAAATCGGTTCGAACGCCTGGTCCCTGACCCTCTCCCACGTATATCCGCCTCCACTTCTGCTGGATCTGCACAAACATGGGAACCTGGCTGGATTCAGGAGACAGAGCCGGCATTAGCACAGGGTTCTCACTTAGCTGGTTGCATAGCAGATCCACCTCATCCATGTTATTCATTAAAAGGTTAGCCCACAGCAGCTGAAAACACAATGTGTCCATGTCTCTGACTGAACTTAAACCTGCACGTGCAGAAGTGTTTCAGCCATCCCTAAAGCATGAAAGCAGGTTCTGAATCCTGCACATTCCTGGAGTTTAAATACATATCTGTCAGCATGTACTTCTGACAAGTGTGATTAGTCACTTTAAGAGTTAGTGGATCAATTCTATTTACTCTTTTTGGATAAAAGTGTCTGCATAAACACATATCACACAAATCTCCTTTTCTCTTTTCAATGTGAAGAAATTCTAAAAGGCGTTACACCTTATTAATCAGGTGGGAGATGTAAAAATTCAGTTTAGATGGACTTCAAAATGAATTTATTCATTCATTTTCTACACTTTTCTGTCTACCTTTGACCTGCTGCTTTTGGGGGCCACGTATGAGCGGTATGACTGACGACTCACCAACCACTGCTGGTCAGAGAAATGGAGATGGAGCTGAGAAGCAGGTTGCATTTGGACTCACTGATGATGGCCTCACAGTTTGTTCCTGGGCTGATTACCACAAATTCCTGCAGGCCAAACCTGTGAGCACACACATAGTGAAGGCAGAACGTTCACATGAACTACATTTTCAGAGTTCAAAGCTCTAAGAGCCACAGCTCCCCCCCACACTGGCGATAATAGAAATAGATGGTGGGGAGGAGGTGAGTAGGGTTGTGGGGCACATGACTACTCATAATAAAGTGATTAGCACACACAGATGCTCCTCTGGTTTCTGACTAAGCAGGTGTGTCTGTGAGAGAACAGCTTCTGAATGGATACTCACCATCTTACCAAGCAGTGGGCTCGAGGGGGGAAGTCGTTGTTCATACACAGAAGGTCCTGCATTGCAATGGGTATTGAATCTGGGCACAACAAAAATACTGTGTCAAACATTGATTCCCCACATCTTACTGATAGAACTAGCTGATTTAAGGACTGCCAAAGCACCCAGCTGCTGTCTCCCCATAAAGACCGGCTCTGGACATATTCCAGACTCCAGGTTATGGACATTCCCCTGACTCCAGGTTCTGGACATTCCCCAGACTCCAGGTTCTGGACATTCCCCAGACTCCAGGTTCTGGACATTGCCTTCTTGTTGGCCTACAAACTGCTTCTAAAGCTGAGCAGGCTGGGTCTCGGTAGCTCACTGCGCATGATGATACTGGACTGCCCAAACCAAAACAAAAACAGTCACACTACCTTCTGGCAGCAGAGATGGATGGACACAGACTCTCTTCTGTGTCCAGCCTAATGCAGCATGTGAGACCTGTTTTGACCATCTCCATCAGGATTCCATCCATCTACCACAGTAAACCCAGAACGAGCCCAGAACAACAGCCCCTTCTGGCATGGACTGGAGCATCCAGCTCAGCCATCACAGGTAAAGCCACCCGTCCATTACCACGTATCCCCAGTAGGGTCACTGGGGGCTGGAGCCCATTCCAGCTACAACAAAAAGTCAGCTGAACCCTGTCCCCAGACTACATGCAGGGCTGGAGGTGACTCAGCATCTGAGGCTCCACGTGGACAACAGACTGGACGGTCAGCTCCTTCAACGTTTGCTCTGCAGCAGAGAAACTGAACACGCTGAGAAGGAGGGCAGATGTGAGCGGGGGCTGCTCTGGAGCTGGCTGTTAAACAAAGCTGTGGTAGTTAAACAAGCAGTGGTGAACAGGAAACAACCCGGATCAGACTGTGTGAGACTTCTACCGTCTCCATGTTACACAGAGGGATTCCGGACGCCTTCATCATGTTGTTGGTGAGCTCCACCACAACCACAGACACAAAAACAAACAGCACTTTTCAGGAAACGCACACACTGGCATGTATCTGGATGGCATCTCAGGCCTGCTGCAGATCCAAACTCAGAGGGACACAGGAGTCTTTACTGTACCTTCTTCCCGCTTCTCCGGCACATCGTCCTGTTTGCATTCTTGTTTCAGAAAGTAGTGGGTTATGTAAAACTTAAAATCAGCAAAACTGATGTCCTTGGATTCTTCTCCCCAGGTTCCACTGGTGTATTCCCCCTGTGTTCAAACACAGAGGGATTATTAGTGTCTCTGCCGGTCAATCCATGCCACTGAGAGCAGGTACCTTCTCTGGTGACCGTTTCCCCACAGAGGCCTCGGTCAGCTTCCAGTCACTCAGCACTTCCTCCACTCTGGACACAAACCTTAAAGTACAGATCACAGTTTGTTTCTCGTTAGCTGACAGAGCTCCCCATTTAGAGAAACATTACCATTTGACCCAGGTATTACTGGACACCATCTAAACAATCCCTAAAACAATCAGATGTGAGATTCTGTTATGGATGTGCTGTTGGTCAGTCAGTATCGTAGCTACCACAGTTACAACGTACTATTAAAACATCAGTGCTGTGTCAACAAGAAAGAAACTCAGTTAAGTCAATGTTTTCTGAAGCCTTCCATCTCTTGGTTAAGTTAATTCTTTCCTTGTCCAGGAAGGAATTATCCATGTGGCAAATGTTTAAAGAAATACAGAAAAATAACTGATATGTGGCAGCCTATACAGGTCTCCTGCTGTCAGGGCATTACGTCAGTTATTCAGACATTAGTCATCCCAGTGTTTCCATGGCGCCGGTCCGGTGGCTAACGCCAGCAGTGACTCACACTGAAAGTCACTGCTAATGTCCTTTTCCTGCTTTGTGTTCATTCACATAGCAAAACACACTCCATCACAGCAGTATGTGAACACTACCACCTGGAGTACACAAACAGAGCTTTTCCATCAGTGCATACTTAGCTCTGCGGGGTTCGGCTCTACATGGTTTAGGTAGTTTTCCATTACAGATGACAGCCAACCAGCTCATGACTCATTTATACACAATACAAGCACAAGACAATAGATCTTTTAGAAAAGGCTATCTGATCATGTGACCCCCCCCCCCCCCCCGGTCAATCAGGAGCCTGCTGTGGGCCCCACTCAGCCCTGACGGAGCCCGGACCAAGTAGGTGCTGAGGTCTAGCTGTTAGTGGGGCCGGCCTGCGGGGGGGGGGCAGGTACTCTGGGTAGAGCCGTGCCCTCAGACAGTGGTGGGGAGGTGAAAATTATCAGGGTAACCCATTTAGACTGGACCACTAAGGCTGTCGGAACAGTGATTTGCTGCATCAGTATCCTGCTCTGAATCTAAGCCCACCTCTGGATGAAAGACGCCCCCCCCAAAAACTCTGTCCTCGGTACAATACCGTCAGACAGACGGCGTCCTCCTGGGTACCACCAAACCCACACTCCTCCTGAAGATGGACCATGACGTGTCCCTCCAGAGGACACGGCTCCACTGCTCTGGGTCCAGCTTCCCCCCGCCGACAGGCTGATGTGTAACGGCCTCAGTGGCCTCAGCCTCACATCCCTGATGCCTACTAGCTGATCTATACACCTATGGCCACGGAAGAGGGACTGGCTCACCCGATTTAGATCCTTTGGATGGGTGAGCAAATACTTTTGACAATATGATGTTCGGCCATAGTGTATATAAACTGTTTGTCTTATCTAAAAAAAAACCTGTGTCCAGCACATTAAACACAACAAAGTCCATTTACAGTTTTATCTGAGAATATAAACGGAAGTGTAACACAAGACTTCAGTTAAAGGTCTTTAGCCTTCTTCTAAAGACTCTCATTGTTTGTCTGACCTAAAATAGGTGCCATTTATTTTGAGCACCGTCAATATTCAGTCCTAGAATTTCGCTTTCCAGTAGGGTTTACTGACCTGGTTGGCTATCAGAGCTGAAGTCTGTAAATACTCATTTCCAGGGATATAAATTACAGATTGGGATCCACACCTAGCTGGCACGAGTACTAGAAAAGCTAGAAGAACAGGGCTTCCCTTCAATCTCCCAAACCCAGCTCTTAAGAGAGCATCTCCTCCCCTTACTCGCAACAATAATGATTTTCAAATGACAGCCCGGCCTTATCCGGCCAGCCCAGGAGCAGCTTTCTGCCTGCGGCTGCTCCTGAATCTGGCCGTGGCTGGGCCGGACGGCGGAGGCTTACCGTTCCCATTCGGAGGCGGTGGTGAAGTCGTTTATCTCAAACACGTCTGAATCAAGCTAAAAGGGAAGAAGTTACATTTGTAACGTCAACATTTATTCGGGTAACAGTGACACTCAGTTTGGGTATTTTTATTAGCTACTCACATCGTCGGCAGCCATGTTTTTACCACTGTTGTTGTTGTTACTGCGGCTGCACTTCTTCTTCTACTACTGCTATTCAGGTAGTGCCGCTTCCGCCACCTAGAGGCCTGAAGCTGAACTTCACTCTGCCGCCCCCTACAGCCCTGAAGCTGAACTTCACCAGGCTGGCGCCACCAAGCGGAGGGTTTAAAACAGTGAAGCTTTTAATAGAATCTCATACAAGGCTACACAGAACACAACATCTAAAATAAATCATCTCAGTGATCAAACCGGAGATGAAAACAACACAGATACATTAAAATATGACCTAAACATTCATTTACTGCTTCAAATGTGGACCCCATGTAGACCCCCATGTGGACCCCCGGTGGACCCTGTCTTCCACTGCTCCAAATAGGGGAGTTGCTGGGTTGTTGGTGTGTCTCTGGGATTCAGATTGAAATATTTCATCACACTGACGTGTGATCGGGGTTTCTGTTCACTGCTATGGAGCCAGACAGGGAGAGAGGCCCCAGCCTGACCTCTCCTGGCCGTGCTGGCTCTTCCACTATGCAGGGAAGTGGCAGCTCTGCTGCTGCCGGTCTCACGGTTTAGTAAAACCAGCAGCCTTCGATCCCCGACCTGCATTTCCAGATGAGATGCTGCTGCAGCAGGTCCAGGACGGCCCAGCTGAGGTTCCAGTGGGGGTCCTGGAGGTGGGCTGGTTTGGTTTTCTGTTTGGTGACTCTTGGTTGTTCCTCTGGGATGGGCTCCACTACATGACAGCCGGCTGGAGGACATCAGACCACTGGCAGCTTTGTGGAGGAGCTCGAGCAAAATTAACCTCATTATTTTCAACTTCGTTGATGGGTATTTTCTTACTATTATTACGGGTAAATATTTTCTACCATTAGAAAAGACTGGGGAAATACAGTTCAAGAAAAGATCAGTTGTCCACATTATTATTTGAAACTGCAAACAAAATCAGCCAAATATAGGAAATGTGACCATATTTGGCCAGTGCTCAGGTGTTTAAATCCAGACTGGGAACTGACAGCTGAAGGCAGGTTACCTGGACTCTTCACTTTTAATCTATTTAATCAGTGAATGTTTCATTTTGTTGAACTTGTTCTTGATGCATTAATCTTTTATGTAAAGCACTTTGGTCTACACAAACTGTGCTGTAGGAAGTTGCCTGTGCAGGCCCAGAGTTTCTGTACAAACATCTGGTGGTGTGCTTGATAAAGCCTGTCAGCCACTCTGCACCACCAACAGGGACCAACACTAACCAAACACTGATGTCAGGAGGTGTGAGAGAGGGAGAGTAAACCAGCTCAACACTGTACAAAAGCTTTTCTAAAGTTTATTTGTAAGTATAAATGAAGGAAGAGCTATGAAACAGTTCAGTCTTTGCTCTGCTGAGGCCACAGAGAGTTTAGGAACTCTGAAGTTCTGGACAAAAAGAGAAGAGAAACAAAGCCGGACACACAGGGACATCTCATCTCTTCTTTGTGGAGCTTGTGAGGACGCGTTTAGCTGGGCTAGCTTTGTTAGCGGCACTAGCTTTGTTAGCGGCGCTAGCTTTGGCGGCTCTGCCGGCTGCTTTGGGCTTTTGTTTGGCCGCAGCTTTCTTGGCTGGTTTGGCCTTCTTTGTGTCCTTCTTCACTGCTTTAGTTTTGGCCACTTTCTTGGTGGACAGCGTCTGTTCTCTGATGAGGTCTTCCCGTCCAATCTCCAGCATGTGGTCCTCCCAGGACCTCATTTCGTTCTTGTAGCGGACTTTGTCGTCCTCGGCCAGCTGTGAGTAGACCTGCATGGAGGGTCAGAGCAAGAGCCGGTCAGTGCTGCTCAGCCCTAGAAGAAACAAGAGGACGCTGATGCAAACCTGTTTCTGGTGGCTGAATAGGTTCCTCCAGTCCTCCAGCAGCGACTTCATCTTTGACTGAAAGACCAGCACCAACATCTTTTAGAACTGATGTCCAAACAAAGCCATGCTGAGAATCAGTGTTGGCCCTGGCTGCACAGCTTTTTATTGGAAAGTCTGTCCCTCATATTCCCCGTTTCTTTAAATAAACAGAGCCCACGGGGCTCCTCACCTGAGTGGTGGTGCCCCTGGCCTCCTCAAAGTGCTCGGACATAAAGATGTTGAAGGGGGAGCGAGGGCGTTTGGGCTTCCCCAGGCTGGTCAGCTCCTGGAACACACCAGGACCAGCAGCACCAGTTAGCTCCTCCTCACCAGAGCAGCCCTGTTGCGTCTGACTTGTTTGTTGGATGTTTTCTCCTGTTCTTCTTCTTTCAGCACTGAATCATTTTGCAGCTCAAAAACAAAAGCTGGATGACCACCATGATACCTCAGATTTAGGGCGGTCCTGTCCACATAACGCTACAAACAGAAGTTTATCAGGGGGCTTCGGTTCCCCTGACAACTGACCCCAAGTTCTCCTAAATCCTGGAATGAAATGACTCTTTCTCTCCAGCTATGTGTCTACACTTTATATTGTCTTGACTTTTGACTTTGAAATGGCTAAATCTTTCCCAAAAAAAACAACCACAACAAAAAGACCAACTGGAGGTTGTGCTGTGTTAATCACAATTAAAATTGAGGTCCATAGAGTCATCATGATCTGCCCCCCTCTATGGAGAAGCAGCTTGCATTAAAGGCCTAAACAGTCCTACTGCGCTGGCTCACAGTACACTGCTCCTACCCTCTTCTTCCGGATGGCCCGTCTCTTGGCCAGCCTCTCCCTTTTCTCCAGGGCCTGCTGCTGGATCTGGGCTGGGCTCAGCTGGGCCTGGTACCTCTGGAGGTCCAGCCTGAACTGCTCCCTGGCCCGGAGAGAGGCCTCCTGGAAGGGCTAAAACAGAGAGCCATCAGCAGGAGGACGGGCAGCAGAGGGGGGGGGGGTTCCATGTGTCCGGCTCATCCGGCTGAATCTGACCAGCACAGACCTGCTTCTGCTCCGGGCTCATCAGCCTCCACTGCTGGGCGATTTTCCTGATGATCTCAACAGATTTTATGTCTGTGGAGGAGAATTAAAGGACGCATTCATATAGACAGCATTACTGTCAGTGTTGTAAAGGTTGAGTTTTGCAATCATCTCGACTACCCAACAATAATAAGGATAATTATATTTCATTTATAGAGCTCTTTAAGGGCACTCTAACACTTTCAATAAAAAAGAGGAGTGTGGATGGATCTGTAACAGGTCTGTGATCCCAGCCCCCACACAGGAATGGCAGCCCTGCACCCCCTTCCTGTGTAGACCACAGGAAGGGGTGCCACCTGGATTGTGCAGATCACCTGCAGAGCCCTGGACCCTCTCACCTGGGTTGTGTCTGGTCTCCACTGGCTTCTGCTGCATGACATATCTCAGATATCCATTCAGAGGCCTCTTTGGGGGGCCGTTGGTCTGGGAGGTCCAGGACCTCAGTGGGGCTCCATATACAGAGAGGGCACCGGTACACCTGGGCACAGGGAGCAGACAGGTCAGGGCTGCCCCCCCCCAGGGGGGCCCTCAGCCCCCCCTCGGGACAGGGGAACACAATGTCAATATAAGGACAAGCGCTCCGATCCAGCTCTGCAGACCGGATGTGCTGTAATGTGCCTGGAACACATGCATGGCTGTAGCTGAG